TTATCTGTAAAAGAATTCAAGTTAAATACTTCTGCAAAGGAGTTCGTACCAAGCTGGTTGCAAAATAGTAAGTTGAATATTGACCTTTTCTTGAAATCAACCGTCGTCGATATATAAATTATGCTGATTAAAAACTTTGCAAATTAGCAACAAGTACTACTCCAGCAAACTTTACGCCAGCAAACATTACTGCAAACACTATTTCAACAAACACTACTGCAAACACTACTCCAGCGAACACTACCGCAAATACTATTCCAGCAAACACTACTCCAGCAAATACTACTCCAGCAAACACTACTCCAGCAAACACTACTCCGGCAAAAAATGCTGATAAAAAATCCAACGTTACGGATCAGGGTGTCGATGGCATAGGCGATGAGGTCGTTGACAGCGAGATTGTTCAGGACTTATATGGAAAGGAGCATCTTAACCTCGTATTCATTGGTCATGTAGGTTAGTATTTGTTCAATTATTACCAGGGATATGATCTAATTTACTTGATAACAATATTAGTATTAGAAATGAATTATTGTTGTTAGATTAAGGCACAATATTTTCAAGTCTGAAAAAAATAAGAATATATAACTTTAATGTAAACTTGAATTTTTAACTAACTGTTTACATATAATTGTCATTCTTCTGCAATTAGACGCCGGGAAGTCTACTATGGGTGGAAATATTTTGTGAGTAATTTTAGTAAATTTATTTGTATTAAAATTAATCATTTATTTATCCTTTTTTAGATATTTGACAGGCATGGTTGATCAGAGAACTATGGAAAAATATGAAAAAGAAGCAAAAGAACTAAATCGAGAATCTTGGTATTTATCATGGGCTCTTGATACCGGAAAGGAGGAGAGGGCAAAGGTGAATAGTTTATACGTCATAAGTTGTGAATTCTAGAAATAAACATAGAAAATCTAATGATCAATATATTATTCATTATGTCATTATTATCTACAGGGGAAAACTGTTGAATGTGGTCGTGCATACTTTGAAACAGAAAAAAGGCGTTATACAATTCTAGATGCTCCTGGGCACAAAAACTATGTACCTAATATGATTGGTGGCGCAGCTCAAGCAGACGTCGGAATTATGGCATGTGATTTCAATGTGTTCAAATATATTCAAGTTTGAGGACATACTTTTCAGATCAATAAATCATATTTCTCATATAAATTTTTAGGTCATATCTGCAAGAAAAGGAGAGTTTGAAACTGGATTTGAAAGAGGTGGTCAGACGCGCGAACATGCTGTTCTTGCAAAAACTTCTGGAGTCAACAAACTGATAGTAGTCATCAACAAAATGGATGATCCTACAGTCGGTTGGTCCAAGGAGAGGTAGGTTTCTGATGACATATGGACCGATATGATCAGGCCCAAATTAATTAGCCAATCATTGATTGATTATTACCCAGGAGTTTCCAAAAAAATGGCCTTTTTAACTTGCATTTAATTCATAATTAAATCTATATAAATCACATTAAATATAATCAATAGAATAAAAGTAAGTTTAAAAGGTCATTTTCTTGAAAATTGCTTTTTACACATTATTCAACCGATCAATCAATGGCCATTCGATCCTTAGCACCTGAGCATCCCAACTACTACTAATTTACTCCTTTTACAACTTAGTATAGCTGCTTTATTTATTTTTATTTGCTTTTATCTCATATATGTACTAGAAAAACTCTTTTTATTGATTGTGACGTGTTTCATTTTTACTTTCAACGTCGTCTTTTCAACGTCGTATAAGAGCATCAATTTATCTAAAAAAGGCCCAAATAATCAAATCGGTCGATATGAAGATGCAATAGTCACGATCTGTATAGAAAAATATCTAAGTTTTTTACTGTCAAATTTAGGTATGATGAATGTGTTACCAAGCTTACACCATTTTTAAAGTCAAGTGGATATAATCCTGCGACAGGTACGTAACGAATTCATTCAGTATTTATTAATCTTTATTTAGGAACATAAATAATTGAAGTTTGTTGTTTAATACTCTACACAGATATTGAATTCATGCCAGTATCTGCATTTACGGGGGCGAATCTTAGAGATCGCCTGTCTGAAGAAGTGTGCAGTTGGTATAGGTAAGAACATAATTAAAGTAATTAAAGTGAGATTCTTGTCACTAAACGTATTTGACATTGTTTCATTGTTTTTTTAGAGGGCCATCATTGTTAGAATATTTGGACAATATGAAAGCTTTAGATAGAAACTTAAACGCACCGTTAATGATGCCAATTACCGAAAAGTATAAGGTAGTTTTATGAAATATTATTGTTAAATTTCAACTTTTGAATATTATATTAATATAATTTGTGATTACGAAGGATATGGGCACAATAGTCGTTGGTAAAATTGAATCGGGCACCGTTAAGAAAGGCCATTCTGTATTGATAATGCCAAACAAGGTACACGCTTGCCCATATTATTGGATAAAGTTGATTTGCTGATTTAATAATTATACAGTCTCATACCATTGATTTCACCAGCGAACTGTTGAAGTATCCGCCATTTATAATGAAACTGAAGAAGAAGTGAATGTTGGTGTTTGTGGGGACAATGTCCGGCTGCGTGTGCGTGGTATTGAAGAAGAAGAAATTTCAACTGGATTTGTGGTTTGTTCAACTAAACGATCGGTAAAGACTACAACTATATTTGAAGCACAACTTGCTATCCTAGAACACAAAAATATTATTTGTGCTGGATATAGTGCAGTTCTTCATATTCATTCTTGTGTAGAGGAGGTATCGATCGCTGTAAGTTAAAATAAATTGCACTTTGTTTTGCTGCTGTAAAAGTTTGTTGTCTTCATCGAGCTACATTTTGCATTTGCAGTCACTTTTACATCTTATCGACAAAAAGACTGGAAGAAAGTCAAAGAAACCCCCGCAATTTGTTAAAAAAGGTCAAAAAGTTATTGCGAGGCTTGAAACTCAAGGTCCAATTTGCGTTGAAGCATTTGAAGAATATCCACAATTAGGAAGATTTACACTTCGAGACGAAGGTTTGTTTACTGTTCTACGTGTAACTTGTTTCTGCATTATTGCCAATTTTTTAATATTGATCAATTTTGCTCTTATTCATATTTTTAATTAGGAAAAACAATTGCTATCGGTAAAGTTTCCAAAGTTATTGAAAACGAATAATTTTATAACTCAAATTGATCATGTAAAATGTGCGCTTTACAAAATAAATGTCTCGTGAATCATTCCACTTAATATTATTTGTAAATAAAATTATTTATTCAACGCAATTTTTAGAATTTATTTATTTATTGACCTTTTTACGAATATTAGAATTAAAATGATATTTATCAATATAGATTTACATAAAATAAAAATGATTTATTTAATTATGTTTCAGTAGTTGACAACACCAATTATATATATATATATATATATAATTAAATTTACTTTATTAAAAATTTTTTTTTCTTTTCCTTTCACTAGAGAATTGATATCTATACCTCCCAATTTTAATATCCCTGTAAATTAAATGTAACTTTGAACGAAGAAATTTTGCTCAAAGTTTGAAGAAACTCAAAATTTTCAAAATAGAAACTGCGCATAATTTTTTATTTTTAAATTTTAAGCGAAGATATTTCGATAACCAATTCAATGAACTTTTTTTATTTTAATTGTAGAATTCAAATAAAAAAAAATTCATTAAATTTTGCCTAGTAATAAAAAAATTTTAATACAGCTTATTTTTTGGTCAAATTAGAATTCTACAGATTCATAGATTCATCAAATTTGACCTGGGTTTTTAAACTTATGAGCTGATTTTTTGTATATATACAGTATATATATATATATAATATTTTTAGTTTGTAAAAAAATTTTGATATTTAAAGTATGTCTTGACTAAATTAATGGTAGCCAATCAGACAACATCTGTAAAAAATAAGATTGATAATTTAAGTTTCTTTCCTTAACGTTAATAGTACGTTGAAAATGGCAAACCCTAATAATATGAGTGCTGTTTACGCAACTGATGAATATGGACGCCCTTTTATCATAGTAAGAGAACAACAGAAAAAGAATCGTCTTAGTGGAATCGATGCCATAAAGGTTACTTTACTCTTGTGATATAAGGCCGATATGCTTGTCATTTCTACTTTGCTTACTCTGACCTAACTTAGAACTTGAAATTAGTCTCACATCTTAGCGGCAAAGACTGTAGCAAACATTATTAAAACCTCTCTGGGGCCTAGAGGTTGGTTTAATTTTTGATTAGAGCTTAATTATAACAAAAATACCCTAGCTCAATTATCGTTTTTATAGTAGCTTTACAATGAAATCGATCCGATAGTGCTTATTAATTTAGATGATCTTTGAGAATTTTTATTCAGATATACAAAATGACTCACATATCCATGATTAATTTATTAATTTATTTGATACTTTTAACCTCAAAGGCCTTGACAAAATCCTGATCTCCCCGGATGGCGATATCACTGTAACAAACGATGGTGCAACAATTTTGACACAAATGGAGGTGGAGCATCAAATTGCAAAATTATTAGTTCAACTATCTAAATCACAAGATGACGAAATTGGTGACGGAACAACCGGCGTAGTTGGTATGTGATCGAAGTTAAATACACAACTATTTGCTCAAATTTAAAATTTTATTTTTAATTCTTTTATACGTGTTTATATCAAGTACTGGCCGGTGCTCTTCTTGAACAATGTGAAAATCTATTAGATCGTGGAATTCATCCGATTAGAATATCGGATGGATTTGAAAGAGCATGTAAAGTAGCCGTCGAACATCTAGAAAAAATTTCTGATGTGGTTGAATTTACAAAAGAAAATACTGAAAATTTATTCAAAACTGCTATGACAAGTTTAGGAAGTAAAATGTAAATTATTTATATATTTACTTTTATTATTATTTTTTGTTATTGTTTACTTATAAGTATTTCTTCATTTGAAATGAATTATTTTTTGACGCGATTAATTGTTGAAGTGTCTCCAAACATCATGACCAATTCGCTAAAATAGCCGTAGATGCTGTTTTATCTGTTGCTGACTTAGAGCGTAAAGATGTCGATTTTGAACTCATTAAGGTCGATGGTAAAGTTGGTGGTTCTCTCGCTGACACTATCCTTGTTCAGGGTGTCATTGTTGACAAGGATATGTCGCATCCGCAGATGCCACGTGAGGTTCGGGACGCCAAGATTGCAATATTAACATGTCCTTTTGAGCCTCCAAAACCAAAGACTAAGCATAAGTTGGACATTACTTCTGTTGATGAATACAAAAAGTTGCAAAACTATGAAAGGGAAAAATTTGAAGAGATGATTAAACGTGTCAAAGATACAGGTGCAAATTTGGTTATATGTCAGTGGGGCTTTGATGATGAGGCAAACCACCTATTAATGCAGAATAATCTACCTGCTGTTCGATGGGTTGGTGGTCCTGAAATTGAGGTAATTAAACTCATTTATTGATGTAATCGAAATACATATATATCTAAATTCATGCTTTTTCAACGTCTCTTAGTTGATTGCCATTGCCACTAATGGTCGTATAGTACCACGGTTTGAAGACCTTAGACCTGAAAAACTTGGCGTTGCTGGTCTTGTGCGTGAGATCTCTTTTGGAACTACGAAAGATCGTATGCTTGTTATTGAAGAATGCTCAAATTCTCGTGCTGTCACTGTGTTTATACGCGGTAGCAACAAAATGGTCAGTTCTTTAATGTGAACAACTCTTTTCTTACTTAGCTATATGACATTTCAATAGTTATCGACTACTTTTTTACTCACATAGATTGTCGATGAGGCTAAACGTGCTACTCACGATGCGCTTTGTGTTGTGCGTAACTTAGTTCGTGATAATCGAGTTGTATATGGGGGTGGCGCTGCCGAAATTAGTTGTTCTCTTGCTGTTTCGAAAG